ATTAAAAATATGATCCTATTTACAATCACTCAAAAAATGCATAGGTGTGGCTCAATTGGTTAAGCATCCAACTCTTGATTTTGACTCAGGTTATGATCTCAGCATTGTGAGATCAAGCTGCCTGTATCAGGCTCCACACTAAGTGTGGAGTCTAATTGGGATTCTCTCTCTCCCTCTCACTCTGCTCCTCCTCCTCCTCCTCTCTCTCTCTCTTTCTGAAATAAAACAATCTTTTTTTTTTAAAAAAAGACTTTATTTATTCATGAGAGGCACAAAGAGAGAGGCAGAGACACAGGCAGAAGGAGAAGCAGGCTCCCCTCAAGGAGCCCGAAGTGGGACTCGATCCCGGACCCCAGGACCACACCCTGAGCCAAAGGCAGAGGCTCAACCGCTGAGCCACCCAGGCATCACAATAAAGCAATCTTTAAAAAAAAAAACTATGGGTATAAATCAAAATAGTTATTGGACTTGTACATTGAAAACTACATAATCAGAATCCCTGTGTGGCTCTTTTAGCGCCTGCCTTCAGCCCCGGGATCCTGGAGTCCCGGGATCAAGTCCCACATCGGGCTCCCTTCATGGAGCCTGCTTCTCCCTCTGCCTGTGTCTCTGCCTCTGTGTGTGTGTATGTGTCTCATGAATAAATAAATAAAATCTTTAAAAAAAAAGAAAACTACATAATGAAGATAAAATAAGTCAAAGAATTCTAAATAAATGGAGAGACATACTACATTCATGAATTGGAAGATACAACATAATGAAGATATCAATTCTCCCCAAATTGACGTGCAGGTTTAATGCAATTCCTATCAAAACCCCAGAAAGTTTTTTTGTAGACATAGACAATCTTATACTAAAATGTATATGGAAAGGCAAAGAAATGTTTTCTTTTGGAGAGAGAGATAACTTGAGTGGTCGGGGAGGGGCCAAGGGAGAGAGGGAGTCTTAAGCAGGCTACATGCCCAGCACAGAGCCTGATTTGGGGCTAAATCTCATGATCCTGAGATCATGAACTGACCTGAAATCAAGAGATGATGAATCAACTGAGCCACCCTGGCGCCCCGGCAAAGAAACAATTTTGAAAAAAAGATGAAGGGGAAGAATCAGTTTATTTGGTTTTAAGACTTACAGCCATAGTAATCAAAGCAGAGAGAGAGAGAGAGAGAGAAATAGACACATGGAACAAAACAGAAGTCAACCAGTCCACATTAAAGCAGGAGATAGAGGCGCAGTGGAATGGTCTTTAAGAAGAAAATGAAGCTGACAGAGCATCTGATGAGTAAGATCATACTCGGGATATTTCCAGTTCTCTTGGAGAGATTGCAGGTGCATTAGAGAAGGGCACATAGGATACTAAACAAGCAATAAAACAAAAGTTAAAACTTCAGAATAAAAACCCAAAAAACCACATATATTACATGATTTTGTTGACTATGTGGTTTGCAAACATTTTCTCATGGTCTATAGTTTGTCTTTCATCCTTATAACGAGTCATGTGTAGCACAGAAATCAATGTTTGCTCTTACACTTCTGGTGTCACTTCAAGAGCTCTTTGCCTCGCCCTAGATCCTAATGATTTTCTCCAATGTTTTCTCTAAAGATTGTGTAAGATTGCTTTTCTGTTTTTACATCTAAATCTAATTAAAATTAAACTACATTAAATTAAATGCCAGCCACACCTCAACAGTATTGGTCACAGTAAATTGCTGGGCTGTGCATTTACTCGTGTGGGTGATGATTGGTCTTGAGCATAACCTGAGGTACTAAGTACTTACTGTAGTTTAAATAGATCTCCCTGATTATGGAATCTTAATTCGTCAGTTGGAAAAATGTGTGTGTGCTCTGTATAAAGTGTTGGGCTGTGGTTTTGAATTCAGAGTGGACATACTTAGTAAGTATCTAACATAAGATATTATTTCCAACTTACGTGCAGACTTGGCCATGCGTACCTTGAGAATCTTGGTGTAGGCCTTTCTGCTCCCTTGAAGGAGACTTACCTAGACCTGCCTATTCCCCCAAAGTTATCTCTTCCTTCCTCTTCCAGCATTAGGCTACTTTATCCCCACAATAGGGGGTGATGTGATAAGCTGATTAGACCAGTGTGGCTAGTGGACAGTGTGATACCCCTTTCCAGGGATCTTTTCACAAAGATGCCAAACAGGCTAGTTACCCCTCATGTTGTTCCAGCCGGGGTGGCAGGCAGGTGGTGGAGAGATTGGGAGGGAAAGCCATTCTCAGCCAGCACTGTCGTAGGTTCTGGCATGCATCTGCAAATAAGACAGACCCAGATCCCTTCCTTATATACTCTTGGGCAGAACAGAAGATGGAGAGAAGGAATCAGTCCTAGGGCATGTGAGAAGGTGGTAAATCCTGCGGGCAGAGGATAAAATAGAAGGGAGTGAGGGGGATCAGGATTGGGGCTGAGGGAGGGAGAGAACAGAGGAAGGGCTCTAGGGCAAAAGTTTCTAGAACATAAGTCCCTGACATCAAGCTTTTGATTCTCAAGGCATTCATTTCAAAGACATCTGTCTTGAATAAACACATTTCCCACCATTATAAGCCATGGAATTAGATGAGGACCAGGATGCCTCAGCCATGAAGATTCCCTCTTAGAAAGCCCTAGATGACCTCTTGAGTGACCCTGCTTTTCCCCCTTCCCGTCCCCTAATTCCTGCTCTTGTGGTTTAAATTTGTCAATAAAGAGTGAACCTATGAAAGCCTAGGCACCGCACCCTTGACCACAGTAAAGGCAAAGCCACAGGTCGCCCAGCTCAGGCGGGGTAATGTCTTTGGGGGCTCATCACAGGTAATATGGATCCAGGTGAATCCCCCCCCCAGGCATTCCTAGCCAATAGCATCACTACCAATAGGCTGAAACCAACATAAAACAGTTTCCCAGGCAAGAGGAATGACTGCTGTACTTTCCCATACTACTTCATTTCGTGGCATCTCTAGTTAGAGAAAAACCTGCAGTCCAAGGGATCAGTTTTGGAACAGTATCCCTGCACACAATACAGCCCTGGCCAGCCGGCAGCAAGGGGCCTTGTCCAGAGCACACATGGGATGTGCGGGATTGGGGGGCGCAATCCCCGCTGTCCCCCCTTGGGGATCTGAGTTCTGTGTCTTCTGTGGATCAGAAGGACAGGCTGCCCTGTGCAAAGGAGGAGCCACGGGAGGGATTTGTACTGAGTGGCCTGGCCCTGCAGACCCCAGCGTGGGTGGCGGCTGCACCTTCTCTTGGGAAGTGTCACAGGTGTGTTGTGAGGGCCCCCTTAGCCAGGCTGAATGCTCAGTGTGGACTTCAGCTCTGGAGACTGGAGACGTTGGTAAAAGCATGAAAGGCAAAGGTGAATTTTAGAGCCCCATTCCCATGGGTGGGTGGCCAAGGGCCAGGGTGGTGGTTTATGCAGGTGGTTTACGCAGGTGCAGCTTCCTCCTGCTGCTGCTGCTTGGCTTCCATCCTCAACTCTTCCTCCAGCCTATCGCTCATTATTTTTTTTTTAAAGATTTTATCTATTCATTCAGGAGAGACACACAGAGAGAGGCAGAGACACAGGCAGAGGGAGAAGCAGGCTCCTTGTAGGGAGCCTGATGCAGAACTTGATCCCAAGACCCTGGGATCAAGCCCTGAGCCAACGGCAGATGCTCAACCACTGAACCACCCAGGTGTCCCTCATTACTTTAGAAGATTGAATTAAAAGAGCAAACACTGCAGCATAAAGTAGATAAGGGATAAACTAGGGATCCCTGGGTGGCACAGCGGTTTGGTGCCTGCCTTTGGCCCAGGGCACGATCCTGGAGACCCAGGATCGAATCCCATGTCGGGCTCCCGGTGCATGGAGCCTGCTTCTCCCTCTGCCTATGTCTCTGCCTCTCTCTCTCTCTCTCTCTCTCTCTCTCTCTCTCTCTCTCTCTCTCTGACTATCATAAATAAAAAATAAATCAGAAAAAAAAAGATAAGGGATAAACTATCCAGAGGTTTGCAATAGATGAAAATTTGGCCCATGGGCAATAGTCTTGACCTGTGGCTGTCCCTTTGTCTTTCTGGAAGTCTGTGTTTGTGAGCAGTTGGGTGTGTATGGGATAGCAATTAGGCGTGAAAGGCTCAGCTGGGAATGGGAAGGAGGAAATGAGGGTGAGCCAGTAGGGCCGAGTGAGTGGCAAAATGCAGTCATTTCTCATTTCTGCAGTCTGGCTGACGCGTGCTACACCAGGCTGCTGGGGGAGGGGGGCGACTGGCATGCTCTGAGGATCTCCTGGGCCCTAGGCTTTTTAAAACATTTGAATTGCATTATTTTTTCTTTCCATGATTTTTAATTTTCCAAGATATTTTTATTCTGCATTTATTAAAATGCTGCACCTCATTGCATTGTGAGTGCTATGGTGGTGACATGTAGTGGCTGCCCTCAGGGGAACAGGGAGGACGCAAGTAACTGCAGAGGGATAGAATAAGTCTCCAGCGGGACCTGGGGTGGGAATATGTTGCCCAGGGGAGAGGCAAGCAGCTTGTGGGGGGAGGCGGGGGAACCAGACAAGACTGCCAGGATGACGCTGGAGTTGGGTCTTGACGCATGAGTAGGAGTTTGATGGACCGTGCAGTGAGTCAGGAAACTGCTGACCATGGGAGCAGCACAAGCCAAAGCACAGAGCCATGGTCACACATCTCCATGCATAGCTTGACATGAGCAGTTGTCAGTTCATTGACTTTAATCTCTGTGACTCATCTGAAATTGTAACGTCATAGCTTAGGTCGCTACAAATTTACTTCTTTTTTATGAATCGCTTTTAAAATCGGAATTTGAAGTTATTCCTACTAGTGGTTTTCTTTGTTTTTTGTTTTTCCCCCAGCTTTGGTCCATAAAAAATCATTTCGGCTTTATTACTTAAAGAAAACTGAACCAGGGTGCATTTTCACACAATCTTAACTGTGTAGCTCAAGTGTACCCACCAGGGCAGAATGCCGTTTTAATGGTGAGATCTGTCTGTGTTCCTCTGTCTAGATTAAGTTTGACAGTGTCGAGGTGTGTGTCTGCTGTGAAAGGCAGCACCAGTCGTCGGGCTGCAGCAACCTTGGGGAGACGCTGAAGCTGAATCCACTGCAGGAGGACTGCAACGCCGTGAGGCTGACGTTGAAGGTGACGGCCAAGGGCACTCCCTGTTCATGCATTCCATCCCATGCATTTACAGACATTTTCGGGAGACTTTATTCATGTATATATTCCTTCCACTTCTTAATCCACCTCAGTTAGTCTCAATACAAGAGGGAATATCTTTGCAGAGAACATTTTCCAGAATTATAGATTTTCACTTTAAGAGGTGTTGCTTTCTGGATCTCCTTTTCCATTTTTATCATCCCACTTTCCTGCCTCTGACATATGTGAAGGAGGATATTGAATGGTTGAAAGGGGTCTTTATAAATGTGGAAGTGAAGCATTCTACCACTTTTCTAACATTTTTTGCTGTTCTGCCATCGGAGAACAGATGGGTATTTATTTTGCCTTTTTAAAGATATTTGGAGAAAGACATTTTACAATTTCCCATGGCAGTCGTCTGTTCTCATGTACAGCATCTGATTTTTTTTTAAGTGACATGGAAAGTCGTTTATATTGTTTCTTTTTTTTCTTCCTACAAGTGTTTTTGGTTTGTTTTTTGTTTTTTGGGTTTCTTTTTACTCTTGGAAACCAAAATTGGCTGCTTAAAAATAGCTATGAACAATGAACCCAGTTCTTCTCTTTTCCCTGGACAAAAGTGTGCTAAAATTTTTTAAAAGGTTGAGAGAGCAGGGCAGCCCTGGTGGTTCAGTGGTTTAGTGCTGCCTTGAGCCTAGGGTGTGATCCTGGAGACCCGGGATCGAGTCCCACATTAGGCTCCCTGCATGGAGCCTGCTTTTCCCTCTCCCTGTGTCTCTACCTCTCTGTCTGTCTGTCTGTCTCTCTCTTTCTCTCTCTCTGTGTCTGTCATGAATAAATGTATCTTTAAAAATATTAAAAAAAAAGGTTGAGAGCAAGGTCAAAGGATTCTTGGTGAGTGGTAAAACTGTGTTTACATGTTGTAGGGAGCTCTAGAGAATGTGCATAGGGAACACAGTAGCTAGTGAACTGGAGACTCCAGAAAGCCACCCTGGAATCTGGGGAGAAGCAGAGAAATGTTGCCCTCTGGAACTGGGTACCTGGGATTCATCCTCCCTGAGTGCCCTTTCAGATGCTGGCAAGAATGACTCCTCAGTCTGGGTGAGCTCCCAGGGCACCATGAAACAGATATACAAGATATACCTAAAGCACAAGGTGGGGCTGGGTCTGGCGCCCTGGGACCTGTCTCATTTCTCAGGGAGGAGTGAGCCAAGTTCCGTGGTCCCAGATGAAAAAGGAAGGGTTTAAACAATCCATCTAGAGTGACAGATCCAGCAGGCTCAGAGGAGCCCAGACTGCAGCATTCAAGGGCCTGGTTCTTACCCACAAGGTGTGTCTTATTGCCTTACATCGAGTACAACCATGGTTTCTCTCTTACTGTGTCACAGGGCTTGTGCAGGGTCAGTGCCTGAGGCACGCCATGGGGGCTTCTATGGCCCTCCTGGGGTCGGGGTGTGGGCAGCCAGTGCTCACTCTGAGATCTCCTTCTGACAACTGCTAAGTCACCATCTCAAGCTGGACACCCTTTCTGGTTCTAGCTCTCCAACTTCCCTTCATGTGGTAACATTATACCGCCTAGTCTCCTTGTGGTCGTTTAGGGCCATGTGAGCAAAACTTACGTGGATCACTTCCAAGCCTGAGTATTCCCTGTAGTGTGAGATTGTCCAGAGCTCTCTTTCCTTCTGGCATGGTAATTGGCAAGTTATAGATGGGAGCTGTACCATCAGTGTGGGCAACTCTAATGAGTAGGGCCCCCATAACATTTACCAACATTGGACATTGTAACATGAGTGAGAAATACACTTTTGTTGCCTTAACCCACTGATATTTGGGGGATACTTGCTACCATGGCATAATCTCACCCATCCTGACTATGCAAGGCAATGGTTTTTTTTGGCCCAGGTGTCAATAATATTTTTCAATTATAAAGTCCACTTGCTTCACTGTGATACACCTTGATATTGGTCAGCCTTTTCAAGTTTCAAATGGTAAATGTTTGCAGAGTGAGTTTGCATCCTGCTTTATTTTGGCAAAATTGCCTTGAACTAGAAATCTGAATTTTTTCCTATTCTCTTTGTTTTAGGGTAACTGCATTTCTTGGACCACTTTTACCCATCTTTAATAACTATCATTTTTTTCCCCTCTGATTGTTTAAACTCTTCCCTTTTCATCTTATTTTGCTCTGTTTCTCTTAAGGCTCTCTTCCTATCTTATTTTCTGCAGGAAATATTATCTTTGTGCTCTGCTTTCAATGTGCTCTTGAGCTTTGGCAGGTCATTTTGCAAGTCTCTGCTTCTCTGTGTCTTATTTCCTGAGCCCTTGTGTCTCTGCTTTAAGCCTTTGGATTACAGCGACCCTCTGTTTGTTCCCAATTGTCACCATAGATGTCTCTAACTGGTTAATTACAGTGGAGTTTTTCAATGTAATTCATATCTTTCTTAGATCTTTTCTGACATACATGGATACTTTAAAGCACAAAAGAAAAGCTAACCTGTATCAAGCGTTGTGCTCTATCTAAATAGGCTTTCGCATAATGAAGATTTTATACTTCCTTCTCATAAGTATATGTACTGCTTCCTCTGAGATTCATATAGGTCTAAGTCTAACATTCTTTAGTTTTCTTATAATTAGTGGTGCAGTTATTTTTAATGTGGTCATTACTCTTGATGTCATTTGAGTTACACTGTGCTTGATGACATCCACGCAGTAAAATACTCTGCAGCAGGGACCTGATGGTGTTTCTGGGCGTTAAAACTCTCAGATCAGGGGCGCCTGGGTGGCTCAGTTGGTTAAGCATCTGCCTGCAGCTTAGATCATGATCCCAGAGTCTTGAGATCAAGCTCCTCGTGAGAGCTTCCTGATCAGCGGGGAGTTTGCTTCTCCCTCTTGTGTTCTCTCTTTCTCTCTCTCTCAAATAAATAAATAAAATCTTTTTTAAAAAACCTCTCAGAACACACATGGGTGGTAGGAAGAGGATGCGCTCTTGCCAGACAAAGCACATTTCCATGGGAGCCCCTTCCTGTAGCTTGCAGATGTTCTCAACCCTTAGTCAAAGGAGACATAAGGGGGAGTCATTAGTTTCCCTTGCTCGTTCTTTTTTGGTCAGCAAATTAGGGCAGGTTCACTGGTCTCTTAATAGTCTGATTTGAAGCTCTAGTTATCTGATTAGTAATACTCCATGCCTAAATTTCCATATTAAATTATGGATTATCCATACTCTGTATCTAATGAACTTAGTTTGTGTCGGGGAAATCTCACGTAACTGGCTAAGGAATCAGAACTCCTTTGACTTTAGTTGTGTCTGAGCTAACTAATAGTGACTTAATGATATTGGTCTAACTACTCATTTACCATTATGCCACCCTCCTCCCTGTTACGCCCTCCACCCACCCATACCAGAAGGTTGTACATGCACAGTCAGCCATTAGGGAAAACAAGCAGAAAACAATCTTTTTTCCTGGCTAATGAAGAATATATTTGAAATCCAGAAGATGATGCAGACACTGTTTTACTCAGCTGTAAGATTATGTTCAATGGCTTGGAGGCCTGGAAGCCCCCTCTCCTGCTGGTCTCTTTTCTGGCCTTCCCTACAGCCTCCATTCCTGGATTTGCTTATACTTCAGCCAGAGAACCCCTGGGGGAAGACAGGCGTCTCTCGAGGGTATCGATTACCAGTTAAACATAATGCATCATGTCCTGCCAGAGTGTGCTGCTTCATCCTCACCACTGGGGTGAGGACAGGGCAGAGGGCTCAAAGGGGATCTAGGACTCCATCGTGCCATGGAAGGATCCCAGGATGGCAGAGCCAGGGGATGAAGCATCCTGACATCCAGCAGTCTGTTGTGTAGCTAGAGTGAGGTCAGATGGCTCCTTGCCAGTCCCTGAGCAAGTCTGGTGGTTTTGGTTTTCCAAGGATCTGGTGTTCCAAGATTCCAGTTTCTGCTCCCTGATGGTGGGAGCTGGCTGTGGGCATCCCATTATGAATAATCTGTAAATAGAGTCTAAAACTTTAGGATTTCAACATCTGCTCTTCTTAAAGCATTAGACAATGGTGGGCAATTTTTACCAGAAGAGCAAGTCAACAAACAGATCCCCTCTCCTGATAAAGTAATGTTTAGGCTTTTATAAGATAAAATGATAAAATAAATGATAAAAGGTGTTTTGGTAGTTGAATGGTCACTTGTGCCAAATCAAACCCAACACAAGATTGGGACATATTTTCTGATCAGTATTAACAGAATTTTTAAAAGGTTACAAAACTCAGAATTATTAACTGGTGAAATATGCCTCATCATATGCTGATATGATATCCATCCCAACTTTAATTCTTCGCAAGATCCCAGAATGTCCTTATGGTTTTATTATAATGATGTAATTCTAATTCAGAACAGAGTTAAAAATCTATTTCTTGCTTCATCTATCTGGATTTAATTTATTGAGCCATTACCCAAAAGAAATTACCCAAAGAAACATTATCAATAGATAAGGAGATAAAAGTTTCCCCAGAAATCAGTTATCGAGTTTTTGTGCTTTTTTGTCTTATCTTATAGATGTTTTATCTTTGTCTCTTAAAAAAAAAAAAAGGCAAGATCATTTCCTAAAAGACCTAGGAACTTGGAAAATGAACTCATCATTTAACTGTGGTTCTCTGGTATGTTCTTAACCTTGCTAAGAAATAAATAAACATGATTCTGAGCATAAGTGAATAGTCAACATTTTGTGACAAAACTTCCGGCCTGAACTGGCAGCATGCAGCACCATGCACACACACACATGCACCTGCTAGACGTGACCCTGACATTTTCAGAAGTGGGCAGCCACACAGTGTAAGGCAGATGTTTCTATCCCTGTACAGCTTTCTTCCCACCCCTGAATTCTTACGGGGAACAGAGATGGGATCCTCTCTGGCCAGGCATAATTCTCTATGCTATCCCACTTAACGCCAGCAACCATGGGCCCCATGTAAGGGAATGTCTGGAAATAATGAGTTCTCCTAGCCCTTGAAC